TCGAGGTGTTGCCAAATTTGGCTGCACCCAGAGACCTAACGCTGAAGGACGTATGCACTAAAACCACAGAACCTGCCCTGAGGAACCCCTGAAACGTTACCATCATGGCTAGCACAGCTACTTCACACAGCCATCCTGCTCCATCCCGAATCCTGCCTGACCCCACAGCGAGCTCAGGAAAGCTGGCTTTCCTCCAGCACAGCTCTGCTGTGAGATTAGTAACTCAGTGTCACAAAGCCTCTGGTTTTACTGTCTGCTTCATGTCACGGTAAGTCAGTGCCTGAATCTGTCCTCCCTCCACCCCACCTAAAATCCTCACCTCCTTAACAAAGGGCAGTTATGTTTTTCCTTAAAAATAAACTAATTATAAAACCAAAGTCAGTTTCTTACACTTAAATAGCCTCTGTAACAACCAATTATTTCTGAGGACATGAGAAACAGCTGTTGCAGTGCTGAAGCTCAAACAGTTACATCTCGGCTATTTATACGAGTAAGAGTTGATATTTTTATTCCCATGTGATATTACCAAGACATGATAAACAACCATAATGCTAGTATTAATTTGTGGAGCAAAGATCACTGTAATTTGCTCCAAGCTGAGAAATTATTTTAATGCATTATTATCACTGCACAAATTACTATTGCAAAGTGTGCCTTTTTTCCCTCATTTCCACTTCCCCCACTTTGTTCTCTTTTGATGAAGCAATACAACCCCAGGAAAAAGGCTGAGTTGAGGCAGAGTAAACCAACCTTCAACCTGCACAGAGCAGGGAGTGGGCATCAGAAAGGCCTTCCAAAGTTGAACCCGGCGCTACCAAGCACTGAGTGAGGCTACTTCCATTAGAAGGTAGGGAAATGTCAGCAAGGAGTCAGCACCTCTCCCACAGCTCTCAGGGGAGGTGTTTTCTACAGCTCCTGTGTGTACATCTAGAATCATAGAACATCCCAAATTGGAAGGGCCCCACGAGGATCACAGAGTCCAGTTCCTGGTTCCACATAGGACCACCCAAAATTCAAACCCTATGTCTGAGAGCGTTGCCCAAACATCTCTTGAACTCAGACAGCTGGGGGGCCATGCCCACCGGGCAGCCTATTCCAGCGCCCAGCTCACCTCACCCGAGGTGGGACCTGTGGGTGCTGAGCACCCATGAGAACCATGCTGCTTTCCTTCAAGCTCCTCATGCCATGACTCCAGGTCCTTGTAAGGTTTTCTCAGCTTTCTGGGAATCCTGGCTGCACTTGGTCATGACAAGCGCATCCATGCCACAAAGGCTGGCAGTCGGAGCTAATTAAGCCATGGGTGACACAATTTAACAGCATGCATGCCTATCACTGAGACTTTCCAAGTATCTCAGCTGCTCTGTGCTCTGAAGCTGCTTTTTCTTCCAAGGATCACAACACACTCGGCAGTAGCGATAAATCACTCACGGTGTCCTGTCAGCCGGGGAAGCACCATCAGCCCCTCTCAGAGGGAAACCCAAGGCCCACAGACGGCCTAATGGCACCATTAGCCCAGATGAGGCTCTGCACAGCCTCACCAAGCCAGAGATAGAGCTCAGCACTTCTCCAGGTGGAAAAAAAGAAGACAAAAAAAGGGGGTCAGACTGGTGAGAGCGGGGTACTTGAGCAAGTCTACAACCCCACAGAGAGTTAGATTTACTAAGAGGTGTAGGAACCAGGTGCTTCTCGTGGGGCAATAAGGCATGGAGGAGTAACGTGTAGATGCTCAGCTTGCCATGGCCAGGGGGAAGCATTGAAGCATCCTCCCTGAGGTGTGGGAGGATTTTCCTACCAGAGGCTCACTGTGGTGCCAACTGAATTAAGACCCCAGGCACATCCGTGGCACTGCGGGGAGCGTAACGGGTCCTGAAGCCAGGGCGTCAGCCTGAAGTGGCTCCTCCCATGTCAGCTTGGTGAAAAATGATGCATGCATTGATATGTGAACAAAAACGCAGGAAACAAGCAAATGTTCAAGTGATGAAGGTGCTTGAATCCTGCTTACAAGGAGCCAGAGCAAAGCAGTTTCAGTAAGGTGAACACACGGGGGTCACTTTTGGTGTCCTATGTAGGCAAACACTTTAAGCACAATTACTGGATTAAAAACTAAGGGGCTTAGTTAAAGATGGGAGCGTTCCAGCACTTCTTCTTACGTTTTATGTGGATTTCAAAGTATTTTCCAAGACCCAAGATTGAACCCTAGAGGCAAAGGAGATGGAGGAATGTCCATTGGGTGAGTCAGGGACATTACTCAGCAGGTACGAAGAAGGTGTATCCAAGTGTGCAAAGCAGTAAGGAATTTTTATGTAGGCAAGTTGGAAGATACTGTGGACTTCATAGTCAACAAGTCATGTGGTGGCTGAGCAGGAAACTCCGTGCAATTACAACTTGGAGGCATCAAAGCCTGCACCTGGTCACCAGAAGGAAGGCCCCCCAAAAAAGCCCTCTCTGATTAACCTCTTTAAATCTGGCTTGGGGTGACTAATGCAGATTGGACAGGTGGAAGGGCACAAAAGGTGAAGGACTGGGGTCAGAAGGGCCTGTAGCCCTTGTCAGGCCACAGCCAGGCCTCCTGGTTCTGTCAGCACCTGTGATGCCCACAACAATAACAAACAGCAGCTAATGGTAGGCTTGTAAAGGCAGTCTTCAGAAAGCAGTGATTACCACAGCTTAACAGCCCCATTAGGGGCACACACACACCTCCCCAGGTGCACCCAGTGCCATGCCATCCAGGCCCACTCACAGCAATCATATGGCACAGGTGGAGCAGCAGTGATCTGGAGAGTTTTATTTCACTGTGTTGTAAAACGATGTCATTTCAGCCTGTGTCCAGATCCAGACATTTTAAAACTTAAGTCTATATTATGAAGCTGGTAATGGCTTCAGCACCTCCAGTGTGGCACAACTCTGCAGCAAGTATCCTTCCTGTGGCAGTGCAGAGATCCTCCATGCCACGAAATCACCTGCACCCGATCCTCAAAATCAGATTGCAACAGTTCTTGGCACAGACAGCACAGCTTGCAGGCTGCTTTCTGTTTGAAACCGGTCCCCAGAGGCTTAATTTGCAGACAGTAATGGGATTCCATCTTCCTGCACTTGACAGAAGGTGCCTCTGCAAGCAGCCTGAGTTCACCTTTCAAGAAGCTGACCTCTTTTTCTTCAGCAGCATCCCACTTTTGGCATGTGTGCTGTGACAAATGTTGCAAGGAAGGCTTACAGGGTTAATACGCACATTAATATTTAATCCTGCTTCCTCACCATCACGTCTCAGGCCAAAACTTCTGCCCCCCAGACCCAAATCTCTGCTAGCTATCAATAACACTCCACTCCATGAACATGACATTTTCTTACCATTCTCACTCCTTTCTTCTGCTTCAAACCCTGGCCTCCTTCCTTCAGCAGTCCTTTCTACAGACGAATTACTGCAGAAGGGAACACTCTCCTCTCAGCTCCAGTTGCAGATCCAACCCCATTCACTGCCAGCAATGTGCCCTCCACAGCAGGCTGTCCCTCTCCTCACTGAAGAGGCACAGTGCCTCCACACACATAATTTCTTCTCAGCTCCACAGAAGCGGAGGGGGACAAGAAAACACAACAGAAGCCCCGGGGACATGAAAGAAAATGGGGTCCCCAGCACACTCCATCATGCTCGGTGGCTAAGCTCATATGACTGAGGCACTTACACCCACCGGGGGTGCAATTGCCCCTCACAGAGCAGCTCACGCATGGGTAAAGCTGCAGCAAGCTGGGCTGCTCACTATGCTCCTGTCCCATCCTACAGCCCTGCTCTGAGGTTTGTCACAGACGGATTTGCCCCCGTGAGCACAAGGCTTTCCCAGCGCACCGGGCTGCCAGTCACAGAACCAGGTGCCAAGGAGCAGAAGAGACAATGCACAACAACATCGCTAGAAGTCCGTTCAAGCATTTGGGTGATTACTTCCACTAAGCGGCGGCGGTAGCAGAGGGCAGGGCGGGCACTGAGTACAGCCCAGCACCGCTCACCCAACAGCCCTGGGACAGCCGCCCCCCAGCCACACTCGTTCTTCTTGGATTTATTGTTCTTTATTTTTTCGGGGTTTTTCGGTCTGCCCCGAGCGCCTGCTCCCAGCCCCGAGGCGACGCAGCACGACTGTGCCGGCTCGGCAGGGGGCGACAGCAACAGCGGGCCGGGCGGGGCTGAGTCAACCCCAGCCAGGCCCGAGCCGACCCCCGGAGCAACGCGAACCGCGCGGGGCTGCTGAAATCCCCCAGCCACAGGTACAGACGGGCCCAATCCCGCAGGACTCTCAGCCCGCAGGAGCGCAGCCAACCCCACCGCGGTACCCGGATGGGGACACCCGCTCCCGCCACCCCTCCACCCGTCCCCGCGGCGGCGGCACGGCGGCGCCCCCCGCCCGGCGGCGGCTTATGAATGGGTGCAGCGGAAGCCCCGCCCCCCCGGACGTGACGCCCCGCCAATGGGGGCGCGGGGCTGCGTGGCTGGATGAGGTCAGCGCGGCGGGGCCGGGGTGGGGGCGGCGCGCGGGGGGCCGGCTGAGGCGGGGGTCGCGGCCCGCGGGCGGGCGGGCGTGCAGGCAGGGCGCGGGGCTCGGCAGCCTCGGCAGCCTCGGCCCGGGGGAGGCGGGAGAAGGCGGGAGGGGCGGGGAAGAAAGAGGAGGAGGAGAAGGAGGCGGCAAGGATCGGGAGCCGCCGCCGCCGCATCCCGGGGGCCGCGCGGCGAGGAGCGAGCGGCGCCGGGGCCGGGCGGGGGGCGCTGGGCGATGCAGGGCTTCGTCAGGCTGCGGCGCGGCGCCCGCCGGCTGTGAGCGCTGGGGCCGCCCCGCCGGGCCGGCAGCCGGCGGCGGAGAGGGGAGGGAGGGCGGGCGGGAGGGAGGAGGGAGGGAGGCGGGAGCGTGGCGGAGGAGAGGGCCGGGAAGGCGGGAGCGGGGCTGCCCCGGTGCCCGCCCCGCGCGGGGGGCCGGCCCCTGAGTGCATGCGGGGCGCCCCGCCGGGCCGCCGCCGGCCCGCCGCCGCCCGCCGCCCCTGAGAGAGCGGCGGCGAAAAGTTCCGGCGGTCGCCCACATGCGCAGCCCCAGCCCGCGGCTTGGGGAAAGGCGCCGAGCGGAGGTGGGCGAAGAGAGTTTGAAGTGTTTGCCGGCGGGAAGATGGCGGACCGGAGCTGAGAGCGGCGCCCGGCGAACTCGGGCCGCCCCCGCCTTCCTCCGCAGCCCCCCGGACCCCCGCCGGACACATGCAGGCCAAAAAACGCTACTTGACGCTGCTCTCCGCCGGCACCTGTCTCGCCCTGCTGCTCTACCTCGGAGGCGTGCAGCTGCGGGCAGCCCGCGCCCCGCGCCGCGCTGCGCCGCCCGGTAGCAGCCGGCATGGCCCCGGCGCCGAGCGGCCCTGGCCCCGCTTCCCCGACGCGCTGCGGCCCTTCGCGCCCGGCCCCGAGGGCGGCGGCGCCCGCGTCTCCCCCCGGCAGCGGCGGGACGCCAGCGCCGGCCTCTACCGCGGGCGCCGCTGCCGCATGGAGTCCTGCTTCGACTTCGCCCTTTGCCAGAAAAACGGCTTCAAGGTCTACGTGTACCCGCAGCAGAAGGGGGAGAAGATCGCCGAGAGCTACCAGAACGTCCTGGCGGCCATCGAGGGCTCCCGCTTCTACACCTCCGACCCTAGCCAGGCGTGTCTCTTCGTGCTCAGCCTGGACACGCTGGACCGGGACCAGCTCTCCCCGCAGTACGTGCACAACCTCCGCTCCAAAGTGCAGAGCCTCCACTTGTGGAACAACGGGAGAAATCACTTGATTTTTAATTTATATTCCGGCACCTGGCCCGACTACACCGAGGACGTGGGCTTCGACATCGGGCAGGCCATGCTGGCCAAAGCCAGCATCAGCACCGAGAACTTCAGACCCAATTTTGATGTTTCTATTCCGCTCTTTTCTAAGGATCACCCTAGGACAGGAGGGGAGAAGGGATTTTTGAGGTTTAACACCATCCCTCCTCTCAGGAAGTACATGTTGGTATTCAAGGGGAAAAGGTACCTGACAGGGATAGGGTCAGACACCAGGAATGCCTTATATCACGTCCACAACGGGGAGGACGTTGTCCTCCTGACCACCTGCAAGCACGGCAAAGACTGGCAAAAGCACAAGGATTCGCGCTGCGATAGAGACAACACCGAATACGAGAAGTAAGTGAGCGCTGAAGCCGGGGTCCCGCGGGTGGGTTGGTGTGTCTGTGGCTGCTCCGCGCGGTGACGGCCAGCAGACCGTGCCCAGCAGAGTGTTCGTGGCCCTTGGGCGGCAGAGGTGCTGCTGGGGATGCCGTGCACCTGGCGCTCCCCGAGCAGTGCCCTCTCGCAGCCCTGCCTCGGAGCTGAAAGAGTTGGAGGCCAAGGGCTGGTGCTGCCACACCGGTCGCTGCCGGGTGTCACAGCCTCGCGGCTCTTGGCCGGAGCTGACATCGCCGGACAGAAAGGAGGGAAGGGAAACGCTGTGCTGATGCCCTGCGTGCGAGTGCCTACATCTGTGTGTGAGGATGTGTGAGCGCCGTGAGCGCGGTTTGTGTTTAGCGCTCCGTGTCCCGGCTGTCTCCTGTGCTGTGCCTGCAGTACCGTATCGCCGTGCCGTTACCTTCCTGAATGCTTTTCAGGTTTGTGTGTAGAGCTGCTGGGAAAATCGCTTCTGAGGGACTACCTCCAGCGCTGCCGTGCTGATTAAGCTGCGTGCAGTCGATCTAAATGCTGACCAGCACCACTGCCTGCAGAGTGAAGTTTTCCGTGAGAACGGTTTCCACGTTGAAGGAGGCAGACGCTGAATCGAGCGGAGCGGCGTTGTGCCGTGCAGCCAGCGGCGCGTGGTGGGGCTGCGGGAAGGGCTTTGCAACGCTCTGTGAGCGTGGGTGGAAACGCTCTTGGGGAGGAGTGGTGGAGGAGCTCCCATGGCATCGGCGCTGAGCAGAACTTCCCGTCGGCCGCTCGCTTCCCACCGAAAGCGGCCACGGGGGCTGGGAGGGTTTGGTTTGAGAACACCAAAATGTGGGTCCATCCTGGTAAATCTGCCCCGGAGTGGGGAGGCAGCAGCAAAATGCTGGGCGTTTAGTGCCACTTGCTGTTAGAAAGCTTTTAGTGGTTGGGGATGCAATGATGCATGCGTGGAAAAAACCCAGTGGGGATACAGAATGAAAAGCAGAAGCAGCGTGGAGATACTGAGCTGAATTTGCGCTGTTGGTGACAGGGGTCCCGTGGGTCTCCCTGCGGGCACTGGGACAGCAGAGCTGTGACCGTGGCCTTCAGGGCGTGCTGTTGTTTGGCAGAGGAGGAGCAATCTGAGCCAACTGTGAGATACGAAAGGTCTGCATTATTTACTGTGCTCCACGTTGTCTGGTTGTCACAAAAACAAACACCGGCCGTTGTTTGACATGAGTAAGAACTTTTTTTCCCCCCCAGCCGTAGCATTTAGTCGTAATACAAGATACAGCACTCCTCCTAAGCTTTGTGCTTTGCTGCCTATTTCTCAGGGCTGAGTGCACACACAGCCCCCAGAGGTGTGCCATGCTGCCTGCTGGCACACAGCCGTGCCGTGCTGGTGGTGGCTTCTGCATTCCCTCGCAGCGCCGCCGGGTAAGACAGGAAGTGAAAAAAGATTATTACCAGAAAATGAGATGATACAAAGAGCTGAGGCACACTGAGCTCCTGGCACTCAGACACCGTGCTGAGCGGTTACTGAAGCCCTTTGGCCTCGTGTCTGGTAAGAGCATCCCTCTGTGGTGCTGCTGCCCTGTGCTGCTCAGTGCCAGCCAGCAGCCACGTGTGCCATCTGCTGATGCTCCATTCTGCTTCACCATTAGGGCACTGACCCCACCTGGAGTTCTGTTGGCTCCATAAACCTAACAAGGTCACATCCCAAGGGCATGTAACTGCTCTGCTGGGCAAAAGGCTCAGGGACTCCGCTCAGACTATTCTGGCAGCTGACCATCAGTAGGACTGTGGTGCTTTAAAGTGTCTCTAAACTGGACCTTTGCTGGCCTGAGAAAACTCTGTGGGCCTTGAGAACAACACACACAATGCTTTTGTAGGGCTTGTTCAGCTCAGGTCCAACAATCTGTCTTTGAGGTTTTAATCGGGGAAAGGGTAAGCGCGTTCTCCAAGATGCACATAATTGCATGTCCATGTAGGACTGGGAGGGCCACACAGCATTCTACTGCTCCTATGCTGCAGCACTTTGCAGGGCTGAGGTGAGCATCGATGCCCTCTCCATGGAGAGCTGGCCTTGATGTGTTGGCTCGATGCGAGGGGCAGAGCTGACTGAGCTGGGTTGACCAGGTGGTCAGATTGTAAAACACAGTGATCTCATGTCAGTGAGGTGGGGCGTGTTCTGTTACCCTCAGCGCAGCACACCCTGTAAGTTACTCATTGTGGAGATCTATCTACTGCACAGTAGATTGAACAAGGTTTGTGTGTCTGCAGGTTGTATTCCTTCCTCTCTGGGAATATGACAGAGCTAAGAAAGGTGCCCTCCTTACCCATGGGAAATGTAAAAGCATCTTCTTTCACTGGGGGGAAGGTGAGGATAGCATGTGTGTGTTAGACTCCCTGAATTGTGCTGAAAGATCTGTCTGTATGTTACAGTTAATTAATCTGCATCCCAGTTACGCATCTCAGCAGATAAAGCAGACCAAAATGAATTGCATTGTTACGATTAGACTACTAGCAAGCAGAACTTAGAGGAAAACAAAGAAAACCTGGTTTCTCCACAGTGCCTTTGGCTCTGGCAGTCAGACTTTGCCACCAGTTCCCAAACTTGCTCAGAAGGACTTTAGCTTTGAACTTTCCCTTTCACAAAGGGTTAAGCAAGCAAGCAATGCTGCTGAAGTTTGAAGACAGCCTCTTATTTAATATTTAATGACAGTCTAAATATATACATATGTACAATGTGTTTTAAACAAAGGCAGAATTCATGTACAGGCTTAACTGGTTCCAAACAATTATTTTTTGGAAGGTAATATAAATAGCTATGGATACTGAAAGAAATCGTAGAATGTGATAATTTAATCAAGGCAGATGCATAGATTCACACAAGAATAGGGATTTTTCTAGGAGAGTAAATAGTGCTGTCTGTGGTGGTGTTGGCTGTGCAGCCCTGCCTTCAGAAAATGGGTGCGTAGTGCAGAGATACACAGAAATGTGAGGGCTCATTGTTCAGCACCTTTATTCTCGAATCTGTGCAGGATAGCTGTAGTTAATATCAGTAATGAAATGATGAGGGAAATAAAACAGAGCACATAATGAACAGAATCAAAGAGGGAAGGCAGGAGAAGAGAAGGTAAGCAAAATTTTTGGACAACCGTAAACTTCTTTGTGGTGGCGGAGACCTAGTGTAGCTAGGCATTCTTCATAGACTTAGTGCTTTTCAAGCAGTCAGCGCTCAAGAAGTGTGAATAGCACGAGACCAAGCAGAAAACTGTGGGACAGCGTGGCATGGGACTGGACTGGCAAGAGGAAGCTGAGGGCTTTTGGTAAGAAGTGGCTGCCCTTAGACCTGCTTGAGGCTGCCTAGATGCAGGCAGAAAGCGTGCTTAAATCTGGGACAGCCCTGCAGGGTGCACGGGGACCTTCAGCATGCTTGTGTGAGGTGTTACGGGGAAAACACCCAGCCAGATGCATGTGTGTTGCTTTCTGTAATCCCTAGTGCGCTGCAGGCTTACCTGGTGTGCACTCTACTGGTGGAACGTGTGTCAATCACCACTGCACCTCCTGCCATAAAAGCACCGTCCCGAGCAAAGGTTACAGGGATGTGCAGTGAGCACACAGTGGGAAGAAAAGCAATTTCAGTTTTGTTTCCTCCCCACCGGGGCTTATGTACACATGTGAAAATAAAGAAGTGCCGGGCACTAGGGCTGAGTGTGCTGCTCACAAGACTGGCATGGAAACATGCAGGAAGGCTCAGGCGTGCCTGCTGAGCGTGTGATGAGAATCTCGATGTTGTGCATGTATGTGCGTGTTTTGAACAAGTGCAGAATTCCTTTTTCAACACCTTGAGCTTCAGTGCATTGTTATTAGAATATGAAGGTACGTTACTGATGTGTTAGAGATCAGCTTTTATACAGCTGTTCAGGACAGGGCTGAGAAATATCCGTGCAGTCTGTCTGGAACGGGTCTGACCCTGAGAGCAGTGAGCTGAGCTGGGACAGAATGGGCCCAAGGATCCCAAATATCACCCGTATGTTTCTCGGGCTTGGGTGAAACTCAAGAACTGCTAAGAGACCTTGGGCGTTTTCCCAGAGTGTCTTGGCTCCTGCAGAGGCCTGTCCCCACCAGACCGCTTTTTTATTTTCATATCAATTTTCAAGAAACTGGAAGTTTGCCTGTTCTACAATGTATTTATTCCAAAGAGAAGTAAGCAGGTAAATAACAAAGTTCCCCTGCCTCAGCACATCTTGGTAAGGCACAACATTTGTTGCAACATGTTCCTCCCCCTGCTCAGTGCATGTCAGGGTGTCCTAACGTGTCTGTTAGAGCAGGTGGGAAAAGCTGTGAGTTCTTGAGAAAGGTGCAGTGCACGTGCCCCCAAAGACACCAAGGTAGGGATGGTAATTGTCACTGATGCATGCCATAAGGGGACATTGTGCTGGCACCCCACAGGTGTGTGCTGTTCATCCATCCCACATGCTCCAGTGTCTGATCATCCGTCCCACTTGCACAGGGTCACGCACTCTGCCTGTAGGTGCATCCAGCCTCCCTCCTAACTGAGTGATTAAACGTCCTTGTGGGGTGAGTTATTGTTATAATTGCTCGCTCCAGGCTTTTCTACATCACTCCTGTCAAGCGTCTAACCCAAGGCTGTGTGGTGACAAACCGTTACAGCAGGTGGCTGCTCTGGTCCTTTTTCTGTAGGCAGAAATGGAGGTGTTGCAGGATAATTTACTGATAAACAATTATCACTGTGTGGCAGTAGAACAGAACTCAAAAAAAAAAAAAGAAAGGTCCAAGCCATTGTTTCCACATTATGCAGAATTAAACCTGAAATGGGTCGTTGGCATTTTGTTGAACCCAAACCAACACTGAGCTGAAAGTCACGATTCTAGCCTGGATGAGACCAGCTGTGCCCTAGCAAGATGGCTGTAGCAAGGTTGCATATTAGAATCACAGAATCACAGAATCGCAAGGTTGGAAACGACCTGCAAGATCAT